GTTAATGTAGGATAAACACTTTTGTGGCTCCTGTTCAGTCCTTTAAACATTTGTATTCGATTTCATGTTAACATCTGTAGACCCTGTAGGATTAATCCTATATTAATCATGGTTATTTTCATCTTCTTAATCTACATGCAAACTCCCAAATTTTGATATATGAAAGACTTTATGACTTCACTGCTACTTGGATTTGGTGCTTTAAGATATTAATTAATTTAAATTCTTAAAATTTGGAGGCTTAAGATTGACCAAGTTTGACTATTTTACTGGTGACGTTAGCGGTGAAAGAATAAGGGGCTTTATCTGCAGCTCACCAGTGTCTGTGGTGCAGAACTGCGAAGAAAAGGAAATATCATCAAGTGCAACACGTCCGCCACGTGGACTGTTAAACGCCACTTCAAAGACCACCTAAAGGGACATAAACAAAGTTGTAGGTCGTTATGTGTTCACACAGATGTGTTCATATTTACCTGTTAATGCACAGTAGTCGTAGTAGTTTAGTAGCAGTTTTAAGTCAAACCCCAAAAACTTTTAAAAACCAAATAAAGAACAAAAACATTTGTCAGACGAATGATGGAAGCACAAGAAGTTAAAGATAACCTAACATAGAGTCACTGCATTTAACCCTGCCCAGTTTACTGCCTACCAGAACATCTGTGTTATAGGCCATCATGTATACCTATGAGACCGCAAGCAGTTTATCAATTAATCTATCAATTAAGACTACCTTAACATAGATTACTCGTATTACTCCCTTTTTAGATACACTGGCGACTATATTACGTACACATGGAAAGAAATTCAAGTCACAGTTTAAAACAGTCACTCATTGATTGGTTTTTGTTTTGGGTTTTTTTACATTGTCAGAAACTTGTACTTTCAATTAATACTACACGACTAAAGCTACGGAACAATTAAAGATTTTAAAAGTTAAAATCCTGACCATAACGGAGACGTTCAGTGAAATCCAACTCAATCATCTCTTGCATGTGGCCATAGAGACAGAGAAATATACATAAAAGATATGTAACATTTGTCAAACAATAACACAATTGATAGCACAATTAATGTTTTTATATTTCCCCAATGACACTAGAGATGTGCTCTCCAATGAATTTTTGTTTGGATGGATGGATAGAAAAAGTGCAATCCAAATCAGAAATGGAGGACTTTCACCTTCAAAGTAAAGTCAGTAAAGCACTAGGGTTTGCTTTGTGAATGTCCATGTGCCTGCCTTTTTTGTGACTGCATATACTTGTCTGCTGAGAATTAACATTTCAATGCGCCAGCTACACATGTGCTCCCGGCAGCGAACTTCAAGGGGTCTTCAAATAAGTATAAGAGCAATGACTGCTCAACCAGGTCTCCAGCTGTCTGCATTTGCAATGGACCATATCAAGGCATAAAAGTTGGGCCTCACCACTGCAACCAACACGTTTTAAAATGTGCAACTTTCCCTTTGAAGGCAAAGGTTCTCTGTTTTTTGGTTTGCAAGTTCACAATTTCTCTTCTGCTCAGTGTTTACAGGCAAGTTGTTTTCTTCCGTGCAAAGTATGGGTGACCGTGGCAGTCTGCTAAGGTTCAAAGAGGATTTTGTTGTATACCTCAATAGCAAACTTTAAAAAAAAAAATTCAATCAGTTTTATTTATCTTGTAAAAAACCCACAACAACAGCTGTCTCCAGGCACTTTATACTGTAAGTCACATATATTACGTATATTGTTAGAGAGAGCATCTGGTGATTGTGGGGTCTCTTTTAACAGGAAGAGACTTTTGTTTTGGGGTTTGGGGAAAGACAAGATAGAAATGGGAGCACAGCACATAAGATAAGATAATTTTGAGCTCAAGAAATCCATCATTGGAATTTATCTAAAAGAATCCAGCTTTAAAATTAGGTTCACAGCAGCAAAAGTATATCTTTAACTACCACTTAATTTATTTTTGCTTTTATAAGAAAAAAGCTGCCTCCTTTAAAAGTAGCGGTCTTGCTTTGTTCATTAAGTCATCACATAAGACTTCATAAGAGGTCTTGAACTGACCTGTACCGAGTAGGGTGCCTTCAGGTCCACCTGCACAGGTATCCACTCTCCAGGAATTTCTGTCCAGTCGTTTTGATTCTCCAACCCTGCCCTCCACAACTCCTGGTACTGACCCAGCTGGTCCCGGGTGAAAACAGAGAAGAGGTTTCCTATCTCACTGCGCTGGTACTGAAAACTCAGACAGCCGGACATCGGCACCTGCGTCATTGGAGACACCAGTTTGGCCACTTCTTTAAAGGTCTTGCCGTAGATGGAGTCGACATACATGAAGTGACCTGAAAGGAATTCAGTGGGAGAGTTCTCTGGGTTTATTTAGGCCACGTAACCACTGATTTGGTGATTTCTAGATGTCTAAACACCTACGTCAAAGTCTTTAAAGCTTTAACAACTTTAAAATTTACAGTAATGTGTTGCTTTGACGCTGTCAGTCTGAAAGATAGGACCATTCTGGGTACATTTTGAATTATGTTTACCACTCTTGTCAAGTTAGAGCCATAGGACAAGTCATTACAGACCTTTGTTATGTTTGTAAAAGGTGAGCTGAGTCCAACTGGTGACCGTTCTACAGACCATTGAGGAAAAACGAAGTGGTCTATACCAGGATCAGGGGTATCAAATGCAAAGCCTGGGGCCCAGAATTAACCCTCCTAAGGATCCAGTCTGAATTGACTGAATTGCTTTGCAATTGAAGGCATAGTTCGGCGCTCTGCAATGGACTATGGGTCGGTCCATCTGTTAGGATAGGCTCCAGACCCACCATGACACTGAACTTGGTAAGCAGTTAAGAAAATGGATGAATACGTTTTGGGGCTTTTCTTGTTTTTCCCTTTTATTGGATGAACAAAGTGGAAACAGACTGGAAGGATAGACATTAGAGTTCTTGTAGAGAACTGGTTCCCAGTAGTTAAATTCCTTGGAGTTGTTAGTTTCCTTGCTTATTGATCCCACTTGTGGGTTCCACTTGAACTTGCATTCAACTGACTTCAGTTCGGAGGAAAATAGTGGCGCGGTCTTTAGAGTGCATATAAACATTACTTTTATTTTAATTGCACAAGAAGACAAGAGTGTAATTGTCTACTCTACTGCTAACACAAGTTTGACTCTTTGCAAGCATCTGCACAGACAAGCTAAGCCAAGAACCCTGAGTGACGTTAAAGCTGACCCCAGCCCTGCAGCCAGACCCTGAACCTCAATGGATAACAAACTGATGAGCAGTCAGGCTGCAGCCTCCGTTTCTACCTGTTCATGTTTCTAAAGTAGAATCACTGTAGCGATCGCTTTAAACTCTCTTTGTGCTGGTTTTGATCCTTGCTTCGTGTTGCTGGTTTTGTGTTCATTCCTAAATACTAAGGGAAAGATCATATGTGTATTCTCATTAGCCCAGGGATAGGTGTTGATGTATGGGGCTGTAGCGATTAGTGATTAAGCAACGTACTACATTATTATTAAGAACAGTGTTCTGTGTAATATGTGTAATAATTACTACCCAACATATATCACAATAGAGAAGGGAAATACTGACGACATTTGCATGAATGTAATGTCTTTCATATCCTGCTTAGTGATGGTGGTTAGTCCCAAAGCAGAGCCAGTGAGAAATCGAATCATAAGTGATATCGATAATGGAATCAGAATTGTTAAATAATTCGTACATACCATCCCTAGAGGTCATTACAAAGAATGCAGATTTGAAGCACTACCTAAAAACCTAGAAACTACATCCCATATGTTAAACTGTCTGACATATAATGATGAAATTTCACTTTTTAAAGTATCCCAGGCAGTTCATTATTTGTATTTGTATGAGTGTACCTGTACTTTGACCCATTGTAGCCCTCGTTAACTTTGTGGTTAGCTTATGAACTAAAAACAGTTTGACCCTTCACGAGTCATTAATAGTACACCCAGTAATTATATGTACAAATCACTCTTGCTCACCTGACCCGTTGTTGTATGTGTGATCATTTGGCATATCATTGTGGAGAACCTGGACCCCGCCTCCTCCCACATACCAGTTTACATTGGCATTCCACTGGTTATTGTATCCACACAGGTGAGACTCCTCAAAATCACATTCTAGAGGCAGACAAATGAACAACAGACCCGCTGTTATGGGTGTGCACGTGAAAGCGTTTTCATGCTGTCGGAGCTTTGTAATGTGTGAGGATCAGGGTGCAGATGGTCTTCATCAAGGCGTACATATGTGGGTCATGTTTTTCTTTCAGTTTAAAGTAAGATGTGTGAGTGACATAAGTGTGAAGTCACCGACCCAGGCAGTATCCAGGGCTGATGTGGATCTCAAAGATGGCCACGCTGCTCCCTTTGCTCGACCCAGGTTTACCTTCGATGACGACCTAATCAACGACACATGGTCAGTAATCCCCCGAAGTGAGGTCTGACATCACAAAGGCATCACATGAGGTTAAAAACAGTTCATTCATGAACTATGCTGATAGCTAGTCTAGTTTTCCTAACTCTGATTTGCTTTAAAGTGGCGTGCAGCAGAGGGAATGACACACGGGACGATGGATAAGATATGTCATGCCTTTTAAGGTGTTAAGGTGGTTTTGGGGGAAAATGCTGAGACTGTTTTGCAGCAAGTGTGCAATAAAGCCAAAACTACAAGCTAAAAGTGGCTAAAAACCTCCAAAGCATTAATGTCAAGCATCCTCTTTAAGTAAATCATCATGTTCCTGTGGTGAACTACTATTTTCTTCTGCCTGCTGTGCTGCCCTGTCTCTGTCATCACCTTTACTGATGGCCTTCATCACTTAATCTTAGTTATTTCCTGTTTTACTTTGAGATTTTCTTTTCTCGCGTATCTAGTTTTTGTGTCTACGTCCTATCTTTGTCTTCTCCCGTTTGAGATCGTCTGCCCTGCCCTCATTATTTGAACCTGCTTTTGATAGTTTCCACTTGTTCCCTGATATTCATTCATTTTTCTGTCTAGTACATTCTTTGTTTCCTGAAATCTTTTGTCTTTCCCTCTGTAACCTACACTTGGGTCCTCTCATCATATCCTGACATAAATGGAATATGTCCATTTGACAAGCAGATCAGTATAGTATGACCCCTATGAGCAAGCGCTTTGGCAACAGTGGGAAGGAAAAAACTCAGTTTTACAGGAAGAACGAGACCAGACCCAGGCTCAGGGAGGGCCGGCCCTCTTCCGTGACTGGTTGGGGGTGAAGGAAGGAAAACAGCAATAATCAGAAATACAAAAACGTACTCATCTAGTGAACTGCCGTGGCAATATAGATTAGTAAAACAATGCATCTTTCACCTTTTCAATTAAAATGTATTTTAATTTTTACTGGTTATTTTCTCAACCTCTGAGAAAGAAATATACACTCTATTACAGTTTACATGAAAAATCTGTTTTATTCCTGCCTATAATCTTAAAGAGGTTATAAAGGAGTTTGTTTATTTCATTCATGGATTGATCTGTCTGCTATTTTATTACTATGATGACGTTTTTCTGACTTGTGAAGTGATAAAAAGAGATATCAAAAAACAACATTTAAAAAAGAAATTTAGCTTGGCTTTGTCCGGGTTTCTGTTCTTGACACAATGTGTATTCAAATTAGTGTAGCCTATTACGATGAAGAGTGCCTCAGCTGGATGGTGTCTATTTATACTAGAAGTTTTTTTTTTTGTCTTATTTATTTTTTGCTTTAATTTATGGAAGCATGAATATTTCTGGCACCGCAAGGTGGCAAGAAATGCCAGAAATAGGGTTACTCCTTCAAAATTAGTTATTAGAAGTCACTGGCAGAAAGTTTTCATATTTAAAGGTGGGAAATACAGTCCTACCAGTGCATCTCAATCTAAAAAATAATTGGAATATTTTGGCTGCAGTTTTGAAGTTGAACATTTTAAATTTAAGGTGAAGCATCAAAAACTGCAGTTCCTTGAGCGGCCACTTGAGTCTGATCTAAAAGTGAGGCAGCCTCCACAGATTCCCATGTTAAAACGCCCAACTTCACAGAAAAAATAAGCATATTTTAGATGTAGACGGGTACAATGATATGCTTTTATTTCAATAGCCAGTTTATCTCTTACAACAAGCAGGTTTGCTTTTGTTATTCGGTTATTCGCAGGTATCTGTTTCCCTGCACAACCCCCGTACTGTCCACAGATGCAGCTTGCCATCATTAACTAATAACCCTTCACTCTCTCATCCAGTGCCTCTAAAAACAATACAACAGCACTTAAACTTAGCCAAGTATGTCCCATCTTTAGCAAACTAACACTACCTCCATCCCTAAGTCAAGCTAGCTTTTTTTTCCAATAACAAAAGTTAATGCTGGGTGGATTTATTTCATTGAGTGGGAGTAAATAGCACAATGCTTCAGGAGTTGGTGTGAAATCTAAACCTCTGGCACATGAATTTTCTTCACCCAGGTCTGGACTGAAATGTGTTTATGCACTGAGGGGCCTGCACATAGCACAGGTCTGGAATAGCCTGATGTAGGTCACAGACCCTGTCAGACTCAGCTCTGCCTCTGCATATAGTGTAAACATGTGCTGTACTATTCCCAGAGTGTTTGGATAATTACAAGCATGTTTCATACTCGCTTCAATTTAGGTCTGCATGTGTCACTTTAACCTGCATGTGTCGTTTCAATGAGAGATTGAGAGGTTTTCTGCACATGTGCAGTAGGTTAGAAAATCGGCTGTCCGACTGCATCTTCAGTCTTTAAAAAATAAAAACAGGAAAGTGTGAGTAAATATTTAGTATTTTTTAGTTTTACCTTTCTTTGCACTCATTTTCTCTCATTAGTTGGTAACCTGTGAGAAAGTTGAACTGAAGTGCAGTGGGATTTATTGTAAGATCACACATTTATTCTTATATTATTGCAAGTTTTTTTTCTTGCACAACTACACAGCTGGGTGTTTATCAGCGGAGTCCCAGGATGAACATTTTCCATTTTATACCTTTTCTTCCAGCTGTAATCTACCCAACCATTCCCCTTTCAGTACCTAAGAATAGCTTAGCTGTTGTACCTTTTATATTTTGAAAAGAGATATAAACAGCCCTGAGCTTCTGGTGGAACTTCAGCCATGTTTTGGTACATTTTAATCTGATCTCTTTCTTAAACAAAGATTAGATACTATTTGAAAAGTGTTTTACCCTGTAAGGCTCTGTATTGTTCTGCAGGTCGATGCTTGAGACCACCCAGCTGTCGGAGGGCAACCGGCTGCTCCACAGCGGCCTGTCAAAGCTGTTCCCCTCGGTGCGCTGCAGGACCTCCAGGCTTCCTGGCTCTGTGATCTGATAGACAAGCCTCAGGCAGCTCCACTCACCATGCTCCAAACGGGGACTCAGCAGCACCCCTATGATCTCTCGCTGTGGGTCAGCACCACTGCCTATGTAGTCCTCCTGATCCTCGTTCACGGCTGCTTCCACTGTGACAAAACGGCCTGAACAAATGGATTACAAATACAGCATTTCATTCATTATAAACAAAGCATGATCAAGAGCATTTTTATGGCAGCTGCTGCCTGATCTTTCCCCCCTTGCTGCTGTACAAACCTTTAATATTTGTGCCACAAATAAGGTTCTTAAGTTAAGTAATGTAGTCTCCTCATTTCCAGCTCCATATTTTTTTTTATTTTTGGACTCTGCCAGAGTAAATTTTGCATGGTTCACAGTGTAAATTATCACTGTTTGACTGTTAGTGGGCCTTCAGTTTATCCTGTCTGAAACAGACTGTTTTAGCTCCTGCTGCTTTAAGCTAGCTTCTTTCTGATTGGTTCTCTGACAAAAGCAACTTTTGAAAACTTGCATAAGAAAAACCATAAGAAAAAATGTCTGAAACTGGGTGTTTAGGGCAGTCAGAAGCTGATCTTTTGGCCCAGAGTGGCTAATATTACATAAGCTAACCTTTGGCTGCCTTTGATATCAGCAGCCACCACTCTAATATCACATATGTCAGTAAGGAAAAGCTTGGTGACGTCTTGCTTTAAAGCAAACGTTTTAATGTTTGGAATAAGACTTTAAAAACTTTCAGCCCTTTGGAGGTACATTTCTTATTGTTCATTTCTCCATAAAAATGCTCTGGAGGCAGATTTTTAACAGCACACTCAGTACCAGCTATAAGTATCTGTCAACTGTAAAACTAATTGGAAATATAGACCCTTCATGAGAAGGGCCAGGCATAAAAAGATGCACAACAACATGATAATAGATAATAAAATGCAGATGGATCATCAGAAAAGCAGCTTCAAGGTTAAAACATTATGATAATGGGAATTTAACCTAAATAGCCACTCTCATGGTGAATGAACATCTCTTTTCCTGGATTTTCCAAGAATCTGACAAAGAAAAGGTCTTGGATCAAAAAGGAACAAGAAATGTGGAAAATTATTACCACTTCTTCCTTTCATGTGTCTCTACATGATTGCACAAATAATCAACAACACAACTGCATGACACAAAAAGCCAGCAATTTAAAAAGCTGGCCAAATAAGCAGGATGCTGCACTTCTGCAGACTGTTATTATACGTGTAGTCAGTATTCAGACATCTAACACATTTCAGATCTGTCTCCCATTAATGTTAGAGTGAATTGTTAAATGTTGTCATTTTTATGCTTACCATCTCTACATTGTTTTAACACTCTGATGAAAGGAATTTCCTTTTGCCCCCTCCCCAGCCTTTCGAGGTTCTGCGGGGGCTGTAGTCTTTTATTGCAGATACATCCTATCTGGAAGATCTGTTTCTTGTGATGTTGCTTCCTGCGTTTACGACCCTTTGGTCAGCAGGAGGTCACACACACGTGCGCACACACACATTCTCGCATAACACACACACACACACACACACACACACACACACACACACACACACACA